CCCCCCAAAATTTTTTTTCAAAGCCATAAGCCAGTAAGAGCAAAAGAACAGGTTGGAGACTGCAGTAAAGAAAAAGAACCAGCAGAATTTTGGAAGTTAAAGCATAGAGCAGGAAAAGCCAGAACTCATTTGCAAGAAGTCATAAGGTATATGTTTTTTCAAAGTTAAGAAATAGAAGAATATGCATACTATTAAGAAGGAGGTAATTGGAAGATAAACCACACACAGGAATTCAAAGTGATTTGGAGGTTAATGGGGGAGGACAGGAGCTTCTTTTATTTTAGTATAAGGCTTGGTAGTACTAATAATAAGTAGCTCTCTTACTTGGTAGACTTTTAACTATGTTCATACATTATAGTGACAAAAAATAAAATGAAATAAATGACTTTATGCCATTTGGACTTTATGTCGTTGCAGGAAAGTGAGTCTCTAGCACAAGGCTTGGCATCTAGTGCATAAATGCCTGTAGAATGGTTGAGTGAATATTGTTCAATTATTTAGAAAACTCTTTGATTTTTTTCTCTTGGTGGTGGTGCTGGATAGCAATTAGAATTAAATATGTGCTTTAAGGATTGATGAGTAATATATTTGGGATATCACAGTATATGAAACCAGTCTCTTTGTTTTGGGGATGGTGGAATGTTAGAAGGCCTTTGAATAAAGTTAAAAAAGTAAAATGTCAACTTGAACTTTGAATTTATTTTATATTTTGCATCCAGGACATTTTGTGGTTAAAAATATCCCCTTGCCTTTTCCTGTCTTTGAAAAGTGGTTAAAAATCAGTCAGCCTCAAGGAAGACATTTGAATACTAGAGAAATCCTGGCATCTAGTTCTTTGGCTTAATACCATAAGCAGAGTAACTAAGTTTGGAAGTTACCTCTTCTAGGAAAATAATCAGAATAAGCAGAGATTTAGTTGTAGTAACACGATCTCCTACCCGAAGCAAAGTATCCCCTCTAGGGAGTCCAAAGTTCTGCTGGTATTAGAAATAACTAGTCAATAATAGGTAAGTTGATTATTCTCCAGGATGGAGAACGTTTTCCTAATGGAATTGCACTACAGAATTGAGTCCAACATTTATTTGTAAGCTGCTATAAATTTGTTGGGAAAGAAATGTTAGAGAAATACCAGGAAGTAGTATTGTGTGACATTTCTTGAACACCTGATGTGATTTTTCTTTGGAAGACACAGGTGAGTTTGACTCATGTTGTATTTTCCTCTGTGTATGTTGTACCTATTAGTCTAATATCTTGAGCATGCACATTGGCGTTTTAATCTTACAATTTTATACTCCCAGAGCTATTGTTTGACTCAGGCACAATTATTTTTGCTACCTAATTATATAAGAAAATAATTTCACATGGAGATGGTACTTAAGTAGAAGTTTCAAAAATGAAATATTATACCAGCTCAGGCTAAATATGTAATTGATTTGGGTATCTTCTGTACAACCATGTTAATTGAAAGCCATATTTTAAAACTTTTATTGTTCTTAGAGTGAATTACTGGAATTTAACCGACAGCAACAGGAGGAAGAAAGAATCAAAGCCCACCAAGCTGAACACAGAAGGTATAAATGGCTAATAAGATAAGCATCCTTGATTAAAATAACTACCTATAAAGTTTTTGCAATGTTTTAAGAAAACACTATAGTCATATTGAATATGGTTTTGGAATCTATATTAGCTTTTTAATCTTTATATTATTGGGGTATGGTATGTATCTGAGGACGCCAACTGCTACATACATACACACATACACATACAATATCTGATTTTTCATACATACACATACAATATCCAATTTTTCTGGATAGGTGGCATAAATTCACACTAGAAAACGGAATCATGCTGTCAAGCTATTTGTTTATTTAGGAGATACTTAATTTGCCTCCCATGGGACAAAGAATCTTATTACTTTGAGATGATCTTTTACTATTTGTAGACAACTTTAGAATAATTGAACTCGTATAGATGGTGAGATACTCATACTTGAATATGAAAGGTCAGACAAGAACTATTTTATATTGACTAACATATTAGGAAAAATATCTTAAAATAGAACCATTAAACAATTTTTAACATTGTAAGTACTCTCTTATCCCTTATATCAGACACCGAGAATACCCAGTAAAATATCATATTGATGTTGGGCCAGTGCTAATTACCTCCATATCTATCATTATTCTAGGATTTTCCTGGGGGCGCTTGGGTTATCTGAGTTTATTGCAGTGTGCTTGAGGATCTCAGAAGAATTTAATGTAAAGGCTTTCCTGATCTAAAAGAGCAAATTCTTTTGAAGCTGAGTGGTTTCACTTATACGTTTAACCTTCCCACTATTGCTATTGTGTATTTTTTAGTTGTGGTGGTTTCATTTTATAATTGAGACTTTACAAAGTGTTAATGGAAGCTCCCAATTCTGCTGGAGCTGTGAACTATGGATGGGTACTCATATTTTTTTTTCTTTTTTTGCTGGATTATTCTGCTTCCATAGTCCAGTCAAAATAGTTTTAAAATGTCAAGTTTATGTGGTTTTCTCTGACTAAAAGACATCAAAATTCTGATACACTGGTTAGGCTATTTTTTGGGGTAAGTGGTAACAGTTACTGCTACCTATTTTTTTTTTTTAAATAAAGTAGGATATAAAATAGTTTAGTCTCTTATTGGTTTTTCTCATTTTCTCTTTAAAATTATTTCTACTAAAAAACCTGATAGTGCATTTCTTTAACACTGGTTGTTAGTAAGTAGCCAGTTATTTCTCTGGATTTCTGAGGACTGATTAGATTGTAAAGCTTTAAGCATCTTAAAGATAGTGAGATATGTTACATTAATAGGCCCTCTTGTTAAGAAATTCATGTTCAGTGGTCATCCAATAAAAATGAAAGTTATTTGATTAGAGGGGAAAAGGATTAATTTCTTGTTGTAGGAAACTTGACCCTCATTCTTTATTTCCATAATACTGGATACCTAAATATTGGTGGGGCTATTTATTTTCTACACCTTATTTTCTCTTTTTATTGATTCTAGTTAAATATAGATGCAAATTTAATCTAAGAGGAAATCTCTCCTCTTAGATTAAATTAAATCTCCTCTGCTAATAACCTCAGTAACCAGTTTTGAGGTAACTGATCAAGTTTTTGAACACATATTTTATGTTCTCACTCAGTTTTTGAGGAGAGCATATGTTTGTATTGTCCTTTAGAGTTTACAGTGAGCTTTCGCATGTTAAATGAAAATACTCATTCAGTAGTCTCTTAATGAATAAAATCACTGTGACCGTTCCTGCTGAAGGCAATAGCATTAGCTGTGTGTGTGTGTGGGTTTGTGGATGTGTTATGTGTAGAGGCCATAAGTTAGGTTTTCTCCAGGGACATAATTTTATTAGAGTCAAAAAGACAACATGCTTTCTACTATTTAGAAGTTGACATAGCAGACAACTCAACTCTGTGTTTTATAATAGAAAGCTTGTGGAATTCCTCACAAGCTTTTCCAGTGCATCCTATATTGATTGAGCCCGGCTGCACCTGAACCTGACCCATGGTAACTTTCCAAGTAAGAAAAGACCGTTGAAACCTCAAAGAGAAAAGACAAAGCATGGGGGTCAAGGACTTGAAAAGATCTGCTCTATGAGCTGAAAACTGGAGTGAACTGAATTGATTTATTGAAACTTGAACCATCCTTAAATAGTAGTTTTTTTTTTTTTTTAAAGATTTTATTTATTTATTTGAGAGAGAGAATGAGAGAGAGAGCACATGAGAGGGGGGAGGGTCAGAGGGAGAAGCAGACTCCCTGCCGAGCAGGGAGCCCGATGCGGGACTCGATCCCGGGACTCCAGGATCATGACCTGAGCCGAAGGCAGACGCTTAACCAACTGAGCCACCCAGGCGCCCCCTTAAATAGTAGTTTTTATCCATATTAACCCTTAGAAGAAAATCCAGAGCAGTGGTTTGACAGCAATAAAATGTATGCACTTTCTAACACTAGTAAACAAATCTATAAACTGGTACTCTTTCTTCTCTTTGAATTCTCAATAGGAATTGAGAAAAAACAATCTCTTTACCACCTATGATCTCTTGTTGACCCACTGTGCTGTCCTCTTAGTAACTAATGCTCAAAAGCGAATCATACCACCCACGTACATGACAAGCCATCAGTCTTCACAGTGCGTGAACAAACTGAGAGCTGTGGACATTGGGCTGTTTTGCAGCCTATACTCACCACCATTGGTGGTTTCATTATGCAGTCACAGAAGTAGGCAGATGTGGGGACCATACACCTGGATGATTCATTTATTCACTTTTTACCTATCAGGACACACTCCATGAAGGATTTGTTCTAGGCACCGGGAATAGGCATAAAATAGCAGAGAACATCCCTGACTGCATGGAAATTACAATCTGGAGAAAAGAAATAGAAGTCAACAAGTTAACAGCAGGAGTATTTCAGACAATGATATGTATGTGAGGAGAGAGACTGGAGGTGACAGTTCCTCCATGAAGAGGTAACATCAAAGGACAAGAGCCAGTCAGATAGAGATTGGGGTCCAAAACATACACTTAGATGTCCCCTATTATTAGGTATATAGAAAAAAATGCAAAGGCCCTCAAGTGGGAATGAGTTTGGACTTTCTGAGTCTCAAGCGGTTGGATTATAGATGGTGAGGAAGAGAATAAGATGAAATGAGGTTGGCAGGAGCCAGAAAATACAAGATTTTGTAAGCCAGTGATTTTATTCTAAGACTAATGGGAAATCCTAAGAGACTCTTAACTCTAGGAAACAAACTGAAGGTTGCTGGAGGGAAGGGGGTGGGGGAATGGGGTAACTGGATGATGGGCATTAAGGAGGGCACATGATGGAATGAGCACTGGTGGTTATATGCAACTGATGAATCATGAAATTCTACCTCTGAAACTAATACGCTGTATGTTAATTAAGTTGACTTTAAATAAATTAAAAAGACTAATGGAAAATCATAGGAGGGTTTTAAACAAAAGGAAGGCATGATCCCTTTTATAATTTAGTAAGGTGGTTGTGTGGAGAACGAATTACAGAGGGTGGGAGTGGAAGCAAAAGCAACATGAGAGAGGATAGTGATTTAGACTAGAATGGTGGCCATGGGAAGTTTTTTTTATATATATATATATAATCTATAACACACAGGAAAATCCATGAAACAAGTATTTAGAATGATTAATTACAGAGTGAACATCCAAGTAGCCAGCTCCAGAAATAGAATATAACCACCACCCTACAGTTAACCCTTATTCTGACCTCTATGATAATCATTTTCTTGCCTTTCCTTAAGTTTTACCTTCTATGTGTTAACCTCAATTTCTGAAATTGATTGCTGCAAGTATGACCAAACATGGGGAAAAGATATACCCATTCTTTCTTTTGAAAGTTTGAGTTTCCCTTTTCTGATATTTCCCATTTCTTATACTCTCTTCCTATTTTCCTTCTACTTTGCACTTATGGGATTTACTTTAGCAAGACTGGCAGAGGGGTACAGGGCATATGGGAGGGACATTTCCATTGCAACAGTAGTGCCACAGAGCTATTTTGGGTTCCCTTCATATTTCAGGTCTTGCTGAAGCTTCCACCCCTCCTCAGCCTCTAGAGTTCACACCTGGCATGGCCTGGAGGGGTATGGTTGCTGGGCAATAAGGCTCTTGCTGAACTGGTAGAAGATGAGGGACTGAAGCTCTGAAGTTCAGAATTGTGCCCCCTCTGGCTGGAGCCATAACTGGCCCCAATTCCAGCAAAGGGCTGTTAACAGCATGTCAGGTGGCTAATGTGAAGTTTTCTATAGATAACTTCTAAGCTGAGGGGCCTCACAGTCAGTTCATACAGCATGTTAGGTTCTCAAAAATTTCTCAGCCCTGTAGCAAGCTTTCCACTTACACACATTTTTCATTGTTTAAAGGGTAAATAATGTTTTTCTGGACCGGCTCCAAGGCAAAAGTCAACCAGGTGGCTTCGAGCACTTTGGAGGCCATTGAAATATGAATAGTGGTGACAGCTGGGTGAGTTTTTTCTTTTCTCTTAAAAAAAAAAAACTTTCAAAGTTGAAGAGTAAAAACAATGAGAATTTTAAAAATATGTTGTGGCTTTCTCCCAAGATACTATTTTTTTGGTGTGCTGTTCAGCTGTGTGATGGGCAGTCAGCCAGGATGATTACTGTAAGTTCCACAATAGTTTCTAGAGAGAAGGAGAAAGTCCTGGTTTCATTGCTGGCCAATCAAAATAAAAATGACACCTGCCCTTTGTTCTCAGTGTGATTGCCTGGACTGTAAAGATTTTTTATCACCCCTTGCCCAGACCTACAACAAAAACAAATGAATTTTTTCTTTTCAAGAGGATTTTAAGTGCAATATGGTTATAAAAATAGTAAGCATTCTCTAGTAATATATTCTTTCAGTGAAACTAGCACATCAAAGAAGCCAGTATTTAATTTTTCACTACAAAATGATTTAAAAAAAAAACCCTACAGCAAAAGGCACTTTTTGGAAATGAAGTGTCCTTATGGATTTGTGAAGAAAACCTTGCAACTGTGTTGTAATATGTGTTTAATGTGTTTTGTGTGCACAATATATCATTGAACCAGCACCGAATCTTTGGAATGTGTATGGCTGCAGGCTTTGCAATGTGTATAGAATCAAAACTACACTGGGTTTTATAATTTAATTGAAGCCCAAGTGCATATGTACCTACTAAAAAAATGGAGCAGATAGAAATCTTTAAACTGGTAAAATACAACAAAATAATCAAGTGCTTGCTGGAAACTCTACAGATCACGCTTTAATAAATACTTGATGGACAAAAGATAATTTTTGAGAAGACAATCTGCTGGAAATCTTATGCATGTTTTCTTGAAAGGCATTTAATAGTTAAAAGTGATGAATAGATTTCACAAATATATATATTCAACTATCTTCTATATATATATACATATAGAAGATAATTGAATGTAGGCAAATTTGCAAGGAATGATACTGGATGTGTATCCATAATGTATGTTCATGTGTATAACTATGGCATTCAGAATAGGGACAACATGGAAGAGAGAGAAAAGAAAACAATATTTTTGTATCAGGAGTTACAATTTATGAATTATTGACTTATTCATAAGAATATATGAGTAGGAGTCCTGTGGAAAATGGGGCATTGTGACTGAAGACCTTATCCAAGCTCATGGAATTTATAAGTTGTGAGACATGATTGAAACTTGGATTTTGGACAAGACTTGGAAACTTCACATTTTCTCCTCTACTTACCAACTCTCGAAATTTAGAAAGTACTTAGAAAAATACCTGGAATTGAGGGGAAGATGATGGGAGAGAGTAAATGAATACCACGTGGGCTGCTGTTAAGGGAATGAGGATTTGGAAATCTAGTTCACCACTGACTAATGGTAGGCTTTATGGAAGTGAGCTATAAATCTCTGCTTAGATTCTTCATGGATAAAAAGAAAAGAACATCATTTTCTTTTGATATGTGTGAAGGTTATTAAAGTTTCCTTAGTAGGACAGTCTTGGTCAAGTCCAAGATGGTTATCAGCTCTTCCCTTACTTGAAAGAAGCAGTGACAGAAAGGCGAGAGTTTCCTCAGGGCCCCACCTCCACCTCCCTACAGACATCCTTACCTCTATGTCTGTTTCTCCTTGGGGACTAGATTCTTTCTCATCCACCTACCAGGGGACTTTATTCTAATGATACTCCCCTCTCTCCTGAAAATTCAAATGTTCCTCTGAACTAGAAAATTCCCATCAGCATAAAATAGAAATATAAATTATATTGATACCCTTCTCCCTCTTGCTACTGTCCTGTTTCTTTGTTCCCCTTTCAAGCAAAACTTCAAGAGGTATCTATCCTTTAGCTGTCTGTAATTTCTTTCTTCCCATTTCTCTTAAACTCGTTTAAATCATGATTTAGACTTTATCAGTCCAACCATAATGCTTTTGTCATGGTCACTAATGATGTCCACATTACAAAGTCCAGTGGTTATTTTTCAGTCTTCCTCTTTTGACCTACTGGCATCATTTGTCATGGTGAATCATTCCTTCCTCTCTGAAGCCCTTTACTTGGCTTCTGGGGCATTATACTCTACTGGGTTTCCACCAATCCTAGTGGCTACTCCTTTTCATTCTCCTTTGCTGAATCCCCTGCATCTTGCTGTCCTCTCAACATTGGAGCACCTCAGAATTCCACCTTGGATCACCTTCTGAACTTTATGTTCACTTAACACCTTGGTGGCCTCATTCATTCTCATGAATTTAAATACCATTTATATGTTTATTACTCCCACATTTCTAATTCCAGCCTTGACCTCTTGACTCCAGACTTGCATATCCATTTATCCACTCAACATCTCTACTTGCATCTCTAATGGACATTTCAACCTTAACATGTCTAAAAGTTAACCTTTGATTCCTTCTACCTGAGTGCTCCATCTGCACTTTTTCCTTTTATATAGTGGTACAACCCATCTCACATCACTCACAATTGATCCATCAGCAAACCCTCTTGACTTCTCCTCCAAATATGTACAAACCAGCAGCTTCTCACTACCTCCATCACTATCATCCTACTTCTAACCTCCGTTAGTGCTCAGCTAGAATCTGGAAATAGTCTCCTAGATGGTTTCCTTGCTTCCACACTTAGCCACATACAACCTATTCTCAATATGAGTTATCCCTTTGAAACAGAAGCCAGATCCTGTCACTTCCCTCCTTAAAATCTTTCAGTGGCTCCCATGACTCTCCAAATCACATGGAGTAAAAGCCAAAGTCCGAACAGTAGCCTGCCAGGTGCTTCCTGATCTAGACCCCACTTTATCCCTCTGGTGCTGTCCTACCACTGCCCTTCCCTTCTTCCTCATTCCTCCCAGCCACACTAGCTTTCTTGTTGCTCTTTGAAAATTTAAGGAGCGGGCGGCTTTCACCTTATGGCCTTTGCACTGGCTGTTCCCTCTCTACTCTTCTCCATATGATTTGTTCTCCAAGCCTTTTCTTGAATCCCACCTCTGTGAGGTTTCCTTGGCCATCTATTTAATGCTGCCACTTGTGCCCTTATGCCTGGCTCTAGCCATCCTTTTTCTGGGCTTCACTTTTTTTTTTTTATGGCACTCTGCAACTTCTAACATTCCTTTCTAACATTATTTACTTATATGTATTATCTACTGTTTACTCTTAGTCTCTCCCTGAGGTAATGTATGTTCCATATTGCATCAATCAGGGCCCTTTGATTGTTTTGTTCACTGATCTATCCCAAGCATAAGACAGTGACTGGAACTTAGCACAGGCACAAGGAAACAGGTGGCTGTGATTGAGGGTTGGCAAAACAACAAAGATTTAGAACCAAATGATTTGATATACTGAAATGCTGAGATACTAAATTTAAAATAGCTATGTATAAAACATTTGATAGAACAAATATTAGATTTGAAACAATGAGCAAAAACAAGAGACAAAGACAACCAAGAAGATTTGAAAAAGAACAAAACAGAACTTCTAGGAATAAAGAAACATAATCTTTGGAATTAAAGCACTCAACGAATTCATCACAATAAAAGGAACACAAATTAAGAACTAAATCAAAATACCATTTCTCATCTACTATTTTGGCAAAAGAACAAAAGATTGGCAATATACTCTTTTGGCAAGACTGTGGGGAGAAGGGTTCATTCACACATTGTTGGTGGGATTCAAAATGATACAAACACTATCTAATTTGTCACTGTCTTTGCATAAAATAAAAACCAGGCCTAGACATATTGCAGAAAAGCTCTACTAAATATTCAAAAAACAGATTATTCCAAAAGTCTAGAAAGTTTTCCAGATAAATAAGAGAAAATAATCTCCAAAGAATTAAGCAAGTGAATATAACTTGAATCAAGATCACACACAGACTATACAGAAAAAAAAAAAATGAATATAGGCTCACTCATAAACACAGATTTAAAAAAATCACAAACAAAATTTTGACAGATTCAATAATAAATTTATTTAAAAAGCATAATATATCCTTATCAAATTGGATTTATCCCAGATGCAAGCTTGATTTATCACAAATGAATAAACAAAACAAAACAGAAAAACTGAGATGATTTACCTCATAAATTATAGGAGACACACCATATGATCATCTTAGTAGATACAGAGAAAACATTTGATATATTTCAATACTCGTTTGTGGTAAAAGCTGCTAGGAAATTTCCTTAGCTAATAAAGGGAGCAAAAATCTATAATAGAAATACATCAAAAGCATTTCCTTTAAATCATATGCAAGGGTTGAAAGGAAAAGAAACATTTATAAATCACAGATGATATAATTATCTACTCAGAAAATCCAAAAGAATTGATATTTAAGTTATTAAAATAAATAAGCACAACAATGTTGGTAGGTGTAGGATCAATCTATAAAAACTTCATTTCTGTAAATTGCAAATAAACAAAAATTTAATAAAAAGACGAAACCAAAAATGGACATAACCTTTAAAAAAAATTTTTATAGAAAGATCTTAAGGAATAAATGAAGGAAGTTATACCTTATTAATAGACAGGAATAGGAAGGAGCTCTCAAATCTATAGATTTAATTAAATTATAATCAGAGCAATGAACCAAGAATAACCAATTCACTACTAAAAATAAAAAGTATGGGGGCACCTGGGTGGCTCAGTTGGTTAAGCGACTGCCTTCGGCTCAGGTCATGATCCTGGAGTCCCGGGATCGAGTCCCGCATCGGGCTCCCTGCTCAGCAGGGAGTCTGCTTCTCCCTCTGACCCTCCTCCCTCTCATGCTCTCTGTCTCTCATTCTCTCTCTCAAATAAATAAATAAAATCTTAAAAAAAAATAAAAAAATAAAAATAAAAAGTATGTATGGAGACTTGATTAAACATTTAATACAGTCTGGAATTGGCACAGGCAGACCCAACCGTTTTTGGAATTCTGACATATGACAGAAGGCAAAGTACATCATTGGGGGAAAATGTACTCTTCAACAAATACTATTGGGACAGTTGAATACCCACATGGATTGGTGGATTAAGGTGGATTAAGGCTTATAAGTAGAAAAGAAGACTTTTCAAATTTTAGAAGAAAATAGACTATTTATAAAATTGACCTAGGGCAGATTTTGTAAGATCCAAAGTATAAACCAAAAAGAAATGATAAATATACATTAAAATGAAACATCTGTTCATCAAAGGACACCATACAAAAGAAAGAGGAGAAACCATATATGAAGATTTTTATCCTGGACATGTTTTGTAAATAACAAGTGGACAAAAGTTTAGTATACAGAATGTATTTAGACTGTGTCATTTTTTTAGAAGTTGATAGATAACACCTGAGCTTCCCCAGGAATGAGAGAGAAGAGTTCACAGATGGGGCTTGGAAGAACTACTGGAATCAATAAAAAGCTGAGGAAGAAGAAAAGGAGGAGGGCAGAAAATACAACAAAACAATGATGAAAGCCAAAGAGAGAAAAACTTGTTTCTTGGAACATCATATGAACACTTAAGTAGTAGGTCTTTGATAAGTGTATTTTGGGTAAACAAATTAGATTGATCTTTATCTTTCATTCTTTTTAAATTTAAATCACATTAGTCTCATATTCCTTTATATCTATCTATAGATAGATATATCTTTGAAAATTTAAAATTACTTTTACATTAAATTTTTTTTGGTTTTCTAGACTCCTCTACTACTTTTCATGATGTAACTAGGGTAGGACTTTGAAAGAATCACTTCAAGTTCTGTTTTCTCTGATACCAGTAGGTGTAACTTTTTGAAATGCTGTAGAAACTCTAAATCCTGTGTCTTCAAGGGCAGTTGCACGTTTGCCATGACTTATGAGGAAACCTGAGATTTTAGTTTCCCAGAATGTTAGAACAGCAGTAGTCTGAATCCCAGGTGTAACATTGCCCAGCATTCTGGGAGGCTTGATGGAGACTTCTTGACCCTTTGCACAGGGTGGGGGGGTGGAGGGGACTCATTTAGTCTAGCTCCCTTCCTGGAGGTCCCCTTAGAAGTCAACTTTCTGCTGCATAATACGATGCCATTCTACTCCATACATTTCCATTTAAATTGCTCTGCTTCACACTGTGTTAGTCCTGTCCTTGCCGTAACTATGGAGGTGGGTGACAGTATTTGTGAACACTGTTACTTGTGACCTATGTTAACCTATCTCTAAGAACACAGCTGATGAGCTGTCACTCAAGAAGCCCTTACATTGTTGGCAGAGACTATTTTGTGAATCAAATGCAATGGGACTTGAAAATTAAAACATGTCACTGGGACAAATCATTAAATAAAAAATAGGCATTTAAGCCCAATATAGTGAAGAGTGTTCTTTGAGGGAACTTCATTTTGTACTTACAGAGGCTCTGAATTTTGTTTTGCTGCTTATATTCATTTTTGTTTTCTTTTTCTTCCAGGATGTATGAGAAATACTTACTTACATCTGTCCTTTGTCAACTGACCTGAAGAACCTCACTTGATGATTTTCCTTAATGCTCCTTTGTTTATCCTCACGGGTTTTATCTTGACTTCAATTGCCCACCCACTTCTCTGAACAACTGGGGATGACCAGATTTTCCCTGTCATTATTTACACATGTTTGTAGGAGCTGATTGCTGAGCTCATATTTAATTTCTATTGCCATTGGAATGTTACACTATTTCTCTCATTGGTTTCACATCTTATTGGGAGCCTAATTACAGCAATGTTAGTAAGATGAAAAAGGAGGGAGTCATTTGATACTTTCAGGTTTGCAAGAGCTATGGGTGCTGCATGCTTGTCTCTCAAAGCAGTTAATTCTTATGTAATTCTCAGATCACATTTGGGGAAGCTTTGGCATTTTTTAGATTTTAAGCTCTACTTAATCTGGGGTACAAACTTGAGCAAAAGAAAAAATCTTTTATACTCTTTTAAACACATTTATGAATAAATTTTGAAATACTTCTGTATAAATGGTATTTATTTATTTATTTATTTATTTATTTTTAAAGATTTTATTTATTTATTTGACAGAGAGAGTGAGAGAGCACAAGCAGGGGGAGCAGGAGAAGGAAAGGGAGAAGCAGGCTCCCTGCTGAGCAGGGAGCCCGATGCGGGGCTCGATCCCAGGACTCTGGGATCATGACCTGAGCCGAAGGCAGACGCTTAACCATCTGAGCCACCCAGGTGCCCCAAGTTTGTTTTTATTTTTAATGAAAAGCTCTTAAGTTTTTCTCTTTTGATGGGTCTCATTTTTATATTCATTATAGTCCATGTAGATCAAATGTAGGACTGCAGTTACTATTGGATCTGCCTTTGGTATTGATTTACTTACTAATCCTGTTCCTCTGGTTTTTCACAGTGGGCCAGTTAATTGCCTGAAAGGCCACTGTTTATATAAAAATCAACTAGATACAAATATGGATACAATGTGTGGTTTTTAGGTGTTTTGGAAACTTGTCTTTTCTCTATACAATAGAGAAAAATGTTCTATAGCTAATTCAGTAGGCTTTCCTATTCTACTTTTATGCCTTTAACCAGGTTATAGACCTTAGAGTGCAAGAATATTGGTTTTCCATGCTTTATGCTCTAGTCCCAACTCCATGTTATATAGGAGAGCATTGCATTTAGTCTTAGAATGAAGGTTGGAAGAGCAAATAGTTTTTGCAGCTGGGAAACTAATACTATTTTTTTAATGACATGTAATTGACATGCAATGTTATATTAGTTTCAGGTGTATAATATAGTGATTTGATATTTGTATACATTGCAAACTGATCACCACTGTTAAGTCTAGTTACCATCTATCACCTTGCAAAGTTAATATATTATTTGGTATATTCCCCATGCTGTACATTATATCCCCATAACTTGCTCATTTTATAACTGGAAGTTTGTGTTTCTTCATCCCCTTCACCCAGTCCCCTACTTCTCCAAAACCTCTCTGGCAACTACTAATTTGTTTTCTGTATTTGTGTGCTTGGGTTTTGTTTGTTTTGTTTTAGATTCCACATATAAGTGAAACCATGCAGTATTTGTCTTTCTCTGTCTGACTTATTTCTCTTAGAACATTACCCTCAAGTTCCATCCAGGTTATCACAAATGACGAGATTTCATTCTTTTTTGTGGCTGAGTAGTATTCCATATAAGGATTATTTGTTTTCTGTGAAAAATTCCATTGGGATTTCTATAGGGATTGCACTGAATCTGTAGATTGCTTTGGGTAGTACGACATTTTAATAATATTAATTCTTCTAAGCCCTGAGCACAGAATATCTTTCTAATTATTTGTATTACCTTCAATTTCTTTCATCAATATCTTATAGTTTTCAGTGTACAGGTCTTTCACTTCCTTGGTTAAATTTATACCTAGGTATTTTATTCTTTTTGATGTGATTGTAAACAGAATTGCTTTTTTCTTTTTTTTTCAGAATTGCTTTTTTTGATTTCTCTTTCTTATAGTTCATTATTAATATACAGAAATGCAACAGATTTTTATATATTAATTTTATATCCTGCAACTTTACTGAATTAATTTATACTAATAGTTTTTTTGGTAACATCTTCAGGGTTTTCCATTTATAGTATCAAATCATCTGCAAATAGTAACAGTTTTACTTTTTCCTTTGCAATTTGGATGCCTTTTGTTTCTTTTTCTTGCCTAGTTGCTCTGGCTAGGACTTCAATATTATGTTGAATAAAAGTGGGGAGAGTGAGCATCCTTTTCCTGTTCTAGATCTTAGAGGAAAAGCTTTAAGCTTTTCACCATTGAGTATGATATTAACTGTGGATTTTGTATGTTCCCTCTATCTCCACTTTAATGAGTTTTTATCATGAATGGATGTTGAATTGCATCAAATGCTTTGTCTGCATCTACTGAAATGATCATATTTTAATCTTACATTTTATTAATGTGGTATATTGCAATTGATTTGTGGATGTTGAGCCATCCTTGTATGCTGCAATAAGTCCCAGTTAATCATGTATGATCCTTTTAATGTATTGTTGGATTCGGTGTGCTAATATTTTGTTGATAATTTTTACATATGTGTTCATCAGGGATGTTGGCCTGTAATTTTGCTTTTTTGTGGTGTCCTTGTCTGGTTTGGGTATCAGGGTAATGCTGGCTCATAAAATGAGTTTGGAAGTATTCTCTCCAATTTTTTTTGGAAGCCTGTCCCTTAGGCTGAAGCCCCAGGTTAAGTAAATAAACCTTGTCACAGGAAGACTGCGGTTGTGTTTTCGTCTTCTATCTATACAGTGCCCTGGGGTTGGTGGCCTTCCAAGAACTGTCTTTCTGATTGTTACATTCCTGTGGAGCTCACAAATGCTAGCCCCCTTGGCTACCAGGGCCAGGTGATTAAGGGGCATTCCTGTGTGTCCCCACTGGCTTTAGCTAGGCAGAAAGTGTAGGGGTTGGGGCACACTCTCTGGCTTCAGAAAGGCAGCAGGAAAATATCTTGACCGAATGTGCCCAGGGACTTCAAAAATGCAGCAGCAGAATGTACTAGCTTTATGTTGAGAGTGGAAGAATGCCATGACCACTACATTTGCTAGCCGTAGCCAGGGAATGGGGGAGTGCTGCAGCCTTCCACACTTCATGGACTTTAGCTAGGGAGCAGGAGAATGCTGCCACTGTTGAAGTTTGCCTGCCCCAGCCAAGAAGTAGGGGAATGCTACAGCCACCTGTGTGCTGGCTTCAGCGGGAGCAAGACAGTGCTGCTACCATTGGCCCCTGCCTGTCTTAGCAAAGTGGTGGGAGGGCTCTGTGTCCAGGCGCACCCTCGTGTGCTAGCAGGTTAGATGGAGTGTCCAAAAATGGCATGGCTAGTACCTCCATCTCTGGGATGGGGGCGGGGGAGTTTCAGCTGTCCCCTACCCCTCTAGCTGATGCTTTTAGATTAGTAAATAAATCTCTTTCACATACAGTTTAGGTGCTTATCAAACTGCTGCTTTTCTGCTGGGTCTTGGGACAAATGAGACTGTATCAAGTCCTTTGAAAGGGGAGTCTCAGTTTCCTACAGCACTTTGGGTCCCTTGGGTGTCAGCCCTGTTGACTTTCTAAGTTGGATGTCTGGGAGGCTCATCACTCTGGTGCAGGTCCCAGGGGTTAGGGGTGATTGATGTGGGCACCAACCCCTCTCTCCAGCAGAAGCGCCAGACTGGTGAGATCCCTGTTGTGTGTCCCAGGCTGGGGGTGGGGTTTTTGGTGAGATTGTGCCTCTACTTCTACCCGTCTCAATATTGGTCTTTTAATCCCTTGTTGTGGAGAAGCAGTTCATCTAGTTCTCAGATCTTTTTCAGAGAAAAACGATCCATATGTAGGTGTGTCCTTGGGAGGAAGTGAGTTCAGGATTTTCCTACGCTACCATCTTGTGGAAATCTCCCGCAAACTAATAATACTTTGCAGCATTAAGAGATCTTCTGTGTTACCAGTCATTCTGTTGAAATGAACTTCCCAAGTGTGTATTCAGGGAAGCCTTGGGACTTTAGGTTCTGGGGCCGAGACTGAGGGGGCTCTCAGAAGCAGGACAAAGCTGTAGTATAGATAGGGCTGCATTGGGTGGGGGTGGGTGGCTGAGAACAGATGGCACTCAGCCAGCTTCTCTGGAGTAAATAATGCCGATACGCTTGGTTTTCCTCTCTTCTGCCAGCTGAAACTACGTTAGTGCTGTTGACACTAACGTAAAATGTTTGGTCCATTGGAAATCTTTGTCGTTGCCTAATATGGGGAAAACGAAATCCCTCCACCCGGATTGGAAACATCACCAAAATGACTGTAAATGTGTGAATGTTGCAGGCATTTTACTGCTGTGGCATGCAGCCATTTCAGCCTTACACCTGCCAGCCTAGCTACCTAGGAAGTCCACAGTTGTGTTCTGGTTGTTGTGTCTAGGCTCAGCATTCCTCACTTGCTGCTATTTCCCAGTGTGTAATCAGGAGCTGATATAGGGGAAAGGGATGCCTTTTTACATTAGTGGATCTCAGGACAGTTGGCATTAATTTCCTTCCAACTGCCTGCCGTATCCTGCCTCCCCAAAACAAAGATTTTGTTCAGGTACCTGGTCTCATTAAAAAAGGAAAAAAATCATTGTGCAGGTATGGAAAATTGTGACTTCATGGCCAAAATTATCTAGAATATGTATGGTGTTGTAAACATCGTTCTTGAACAATTCTCTATGTAGGTGGAAGTAAGCAGAAAAGAAGCAAGAGTTGCTGTGTAAGGGAGCCTACTGTTTGCTTTTCACATTTAATCTGCCCTGTTGAATCAATTGGAATACAATTTTGACTTGTGGATAACTTTGGATAGGAATCTCAAAGTTTCCATCACAACTTCTATGCTTTTGAAGTGCTTTTTTTCTTCTGAAAAAGAGAATAAAAATGAGACAAATTGTTACAAAATAGGTCTTTATTATAGAAACTTTAGACATACAGATGAGTAATAAAAAGGAACAAAACAGTGATTTTTCAGGTGTTATTTATAGACAGCCACAGTTATTATTTTGGTATGCACCCTTCCAGATAATTTTCTATCTGTATGTATATCAAAATCCCTGCAATAGAAATCCTTATAGTTACCTAATGATTGGATAAGGACAAACACCTTGAATTAGAATTTACAGAGGTTTTAATATATATATAGTCAAATTACTTTCCCAAAAGGTGGCACAAATATTTATTACCACCAGAAGCATGACCTATCCTTAATACTGTCTGTGGTTTGTAAATCACTGTTTATATGCTGAGCAAAAAGTGTCATTTGAGAGCTTAACCCTTCTTTTTTCCATAGATTTACTGGTCATTCTTTATCTTCGTGTGTGTGTGTGTGTGTACAGCTGATTTGTAAAAGGTCTATGTAAAGATATTATGTTGTAAGTAATATAATTTTTATATATCTTTTAATACAGTATTATTTAACTTAGTACTGAGTTTTAAATATTTATGTATTTGGATCTCAATCTTTGACCTTTGTG